CCTAAAGTATATATTAGAGAAAGCCTCTTGCAAACTTTTCTTTGAGATGCCTAATATTGAGGCCAGATGTTGGAGAACTCTCTAACCATGCACATGGTTATAGGTCGACCGATCTTGTAATTTGCATTACGGAAGGTATAGTCCTTCTTATTTTTGCTTAATGTTTATGTCCTATTAATTGATATTCAAAATTTAGGGTCATCAAGCTAAAATGGACTGTACGTGCCTTCAATTGTTAGAATCCACATATGCATATCAGTTTTATAAAAAAAATAATAATTTAATTAGGTAAAACTTATAGCCTGTAGGTATGTGAATTCGGACACACACATTATTTAAACCGTCGTATTGGACTTCTTTAATTAACCAGGACATTTGAATCAGGTTTTCGGATCCAGTGTTTCATCTCCAAACTTTAAATACTTGGGTTTAATTGATCAAGAGTTTGATTTTTATCAATGCCTTGAAAATATATTTTATCTCCAAATTTCCTGATGTTCACAAAAAAAAAAATGATAACCAGGACATTTAACGGCTATTTTTAAGTAAACAGGTGGTAGATAGCACACACAAATCATGCACATTACCTTAGAGATTGTTATAATATACGTTTAGTTATTTTCACTACTAAAATTCTTTTTTTAGCAACTAAGTATCAGCAATATGAAATTGTTTGTCGCTGATATGAATTTGCATCGACAAGACCCATGTTACTGATACTTAAATAGTACACCTTTTTAGCAAAAAGTGTTCTTTACTTTTTAGCAACATGGTTCTTGTCGCTGAAAATTTTTGGTTATTCTTCATGACCGGATGCTACAACAATTTCCATAAAAAGTGTTTTTTACCTTTAGCAACATGGTTTTTGTTGTTGAAATTGATTTTTAGCAATAAGAACCATGTTGCTGAAATTTTTTGGCTATTGTTTATGACCAGATGCTACACCAATTGCATAAAAAGTGTTATTTACTTTTAGCAACAAGAACCATGTTGTTGAAATTTTTTGGCTACTGTTCATGACCAAATGCTACATCAATTCCATAAATTAATTAGTAACATGGGAACATGTCGATGATATGGATTTTCACCGATAAGGTCCACGTTGCTGAAATTTTCTAGTTACTGTTAATGACTGGGTGCTGCATCAATTCCATAAATTAATTACCAACATGGGAGCATGTCAGTGATATGGATTTTCACCAACAATACCCACGTTCCTGATACTTAAATAGTACACTTTCCTCCCAAAAAGTATTCTTCACTTTCAACAACATGGTTCTTGTTGTTGAAAGTGAATTTCAGTAATAAGAACCACTTGGCTGAAATTTTCCGATGGACTAGGCCCATGTTCATTGACCGGCAGTTGCACTCATTCCATGGGAACTACCAGCATGAACTTTTAAAGCATTTATTAAGCAGAATCATAGAGCCTGCATCTGTTACATACTAATTTAAGTAAGCTTCTCAAATAAAAAAATTAATTAAAGATGAGAATTTTGAATTGTCAATTCCCAAAAACCCATTTTTTTTTCAGGTCCCAAGCCTAAGATTCAGGTTAGCTTTCATTTTGATGAGGAAAAAAAGTAGAATTTTAACTAAAAAATACAGTAGAAAATTTGAGGCCGTGGCTTCAAAATTGCATGAGTTGGAACCTTTCCATCAAAATCCTCCCACCACATTAAGATGTTCATAAAAACATGTTGCAAATAACACAAAACTTTTAGACTCATTGGATTCACTAGCAGCAAATTGCACTAAAATAATGAGAGCAAATGAATATTCCTCAAAATTTCAGGCCACTTTTCTTTATTTGGAAGGCCAATCTCTAAAATATTTTATGATTATATGTGAAGTACTTTTGTAAACCCAAAAGGATGTCCACATTATTTTTTTAGCTAAATTAGATATTTAAATCATTTAAGTAAAGAATGAATAATATAATTATGTTAAGTAATGTGTTAAATGTTATTTACCAAAAAAAATGTGTTAAATGTTAAGTAATATTTAATAAAGTTAAA